AGTTTTTAACAAAGGTGTAAACTTTATTCAAAAATATTTTCCATAAGAGGTGTAAATATTTTTACAAAAGATTTAAGTTATGTCACAAAAGGTGTAAATTCTAACAAAAGGTGTAAATTTTCTATTTCACAAAAAGGTGTCCACTAAGAGGTGTAAAGTTTATGCAAAACATATTTTCCATAGAAGGTGTAAATTTTTTCACACAAGATGTAAGTTATTTGACAAAAACTGTAAGTTCTGTTCTCAGAAAATGTGTAACTTCCAATAAAAGGTGTAAATTTTTTTAATAAAATTGTTTACAAAAGTAGTAACCTTTCACAAAAGTTGTAAGTATTTCAACGAAAATGTGTAAATTTTACAAAATAAATTATTTCACAAATGTGTAACCTTCCACAAATAGTGTAAGTGTTTTCACAAGAGATGTAAGTAACCTCGCAAAAGGTGTGAGTTCCGTTTTTTTAGAAAACGTGTAAGTTCCTAAAATCCAATCAAACTGTATTTGTCTTGTTCAAATAATGACAATGTCAGAGAGAAGCGGCGTTTCAGAGGGATTGGTCTTTCTCTCAGTAGAAGTCTGTTTCAGAGAAGACCAGTTTGGGAGGGCTTGGAATACCGACTCCAAGTCCAAATCCAACCAAGTATGTCAATGTTAAACAGAACCATTTTTAATATAGAGGAAGGGACAAAGAGAGAGACAGACCGAGATCGACAGACAAAGAGACCGAGATGGACCATCAACAGAAACAGCCAGACCGAGATTGACAGAGAAGAGACCGAGATCAACAGAGACAGACCAAGATCGCTGGAGACAGACCGAGATAGACAGGGATCGACAGAGAGAGACCAAGATCGATAGAGAGAGAGAGAGAAAAAAAAAACCTTTGATTTGCGTCAGTGGCGGTGGCGGTGGCCGTAGCGGTCGCCGTGGCGGTGGAGATGTCAAACGGCGGTAAGCACCAGAGGCCACCGACACTTGGGTGGTCAGCGGGGGTCAGGATTGGTGGTGACTATTTTGTGTACATGTGAGAGAGAACAGAGAAATGGACGGTGGGAAACAGAGAAGAGAGAGGCCGATCTTAAACAGCGCCTTAAGATTTTCAACCTTTAGCGACTAAACTGTTATTTGTCGATAAAATTTACACTAAACTAAATTTTACACCCTTTTTCTGAAACGTTACACATTTTTTGAAAAATTTCTAAACTTATACCTTTTCGGCAAAATACTTACACCATTTTCTGAAAGTTTACACCAATTTCTGAAAGTTTATACCTTTTCATCAAAACACTTATACCATTTGAAATTATTAATATATTATATTATTTAATTAATTTACCTGCCAAGCGACCCGTTTAGCATGTCACCAATGTGTAAACTTTCAAAAAATATCCTATAAGAGAACATATAAAAGGTGTAAATGCAAAATACTAAGGGTGTAAATGCCTTGCATACCATATACAAAGCACACGGAAGAAAAGTCCTATTTTTTAATCTATGTAACACTAGTATTAATTGAACTAATGACGTTTAAAACTAGAATAACCTGTTCTTATATATATTAGTTTATTGAAACGGGTGATATGTTTTTACTTAACATTAAAATACTATTTTATTTTGTTAATAAAGTCATTTTTTAGCTTGTCAATTTTACTTAACAAAAATAGATGAATGGTTTAGATTGAAATAAATCAAAAGATTAGGATTTAAATTGATAAAATTGAAAATTTAAGTTTTATTTTGTTACAAGACTTTGCTACAGACCTCCAGTGAGGTGGCAGCTTGCCATTCGTCCAAATCACAAAAAAAAAAAAAAAAAAGTTTTTTTTTTGAACCAATCCGGAGCCGACACCTCACTGGGAGTCGACCCCCAGTGGGGATATGAAACTTTTTTCAAAAAAAAAATGGGCGTTTGTCAAACCCTCTGTTTTTTGAACTTCGGAATGTACTCAAACTCAGATTATTTACATTTACCAAGTTGATTTCAAACGATGGGTAATGTTCCGGAATTCTAATTAGAGTTGCAAAAGGACAGCTCTAATGAGTTGTCAACCAATAAAAAAAAAAATAGTGAAGTAAAAGACAAAAAAGAGGGAAGAAAAAGACAAATTAATGCTCTATTAGAACTCATCTTTTAGAGGTCTAAATCATTTTTGTTCAAACGATCTTTCAAATGGTGAAACACTAGTTGAACTCAAGTAATTCCGTTTACAGCTGTGATTTTTGTGCTTATGTATGTATGTATGTATGTATGTATGTATAGGTGGTCTCTGATAGCTGGGAAGTTAGCAGGAAGAACTGATAATGAAATAAAGAATTACTGGAACACCCATTTGAGAAAAAAGCTACTGAGCAGAGGGATTGATCCAGTCACACATCGGCCACTGAATGAGCCAACAACCACAACAACCACAACCTCTAATTCTACAACACTAATATTTTTCTGCTGTCGAAGATAAAAAGGAGGGGGAGGAGAATTATGAGGTAATAATTGGGTGTCAAGAACAGAAAAACACAAGCCAGGAACAATGTCCTCCTCAATTAAATCTCGAGCTTCGCATTAGCTTGCCTTCCCACCATCCACCACCACAGCTTCCATCAAAGAGAATAGGGAAGAGTCTTTGTTTCAGTTGCAGATTGGGTTTATTCAACAATAATGAGTGCACTTCTTGTATTAACAGAGATGATTTGGTTAGCCTAAACCCTGGTGTTGTGGATTATGTAAACTTTTCTCAACAATGAAATTACTCTTCTTTTTTTTTTTCTTTTTTTTGAAATATTTCTATAATGACCATATATTTTTACTATTTTATCTTGTTGTCAGCACTGTGTTAGAGATATATATTAGTTGTGAAATCTATTACTTTAATATCATGGTGTGACTCATTGGAGATATTTAAATTTGATTAATGTTCTTAGAATTGAAAATGTAACAAACTTAGAAAAAATGTCTAAAAATAAAATATAGGGTGTAGATTCAAGTATAATGTGGAGCAAGTTACACTCAAAATGAATATAATTTATTTTTTTATTTTTCAAACATTTTTTTATGCATTTTATTTTAAGTTTATAGCATTGTTGTTATAGAATTAATGTGGAGGTGGGAATAGAATATATTGACAATAGTGCTACTAAACACTATTTTTAATGAAGGGGTATAATATTTTTTTTAGAATATATTGACAATAGTGCGACTAAACATTATTTTTTTAGTCTACAACTTTTCTCTATTGTTGATGACATAAGATGAGGATGAATTCAAAGAAATGACATAAGATAAGGGTATAAATTGATCTTCCCATTTTTTAGTAAATACTTTCCATTTTTACCACAAATTTGATAATTTATATGATTACTGATCTACTCCTCGAGTTTATTAGGAAAAAAAAACACAAAGCAAAGAAAAAAGGAAAAAAAAAATATTCATAATATCCTTATTTTATACATAAATCTATAAGAAAAGAAAAAAATTTGCTTCAACAAATTAGGGAATATTGTGAGACAAAAAAGTAAGATCAAAAGAAATTTTCCATCACTATGCACCATGTTAAAATAAACAACAATGTTAGGTAGCTCAAAATTTTGTGGTTCAAATAGCTCAAATCACTTAAAACGACGTCGTTTTGACAAATTTTGAGTGTAAAACGACGTTATTTTGACAGATTTAAGCCATTTGAACCACAAAATTTTGAGCTGCCAAACATTTTCCTAAAATAAATTTGCCGCATGATATAATAAACTTCAGTCTTGAACTTTATCAATTGGTATGCACTATGGAAAGTAGGTCAAAATACCTGATAAAAGAATTATAAATTTACTAAAATGCTAAATATTTTTATTTCTAAGGCAAATAGAATACAAGCATATAATAAAATACAAAAAAGAAAAAGAAAAAAGAAAAAAAGAGAGTGGTCATGAATATAAAACAGCTCCTATTGAATGGCGGTGGATGTCAGTTAATGGTGCCTCTTTCTCTTCATAATGGTTGAGAGATATTCCCTTTTAATCGCATACGATTGCAACCTGTTTGAATAGACATGTTTTTGTGACTCTATTAGATTGTGGTATTTTTATTATTCAATGGTGTTAATTACCCATTTTTATGAGGTGGAATGTGTAGTCCGCTTCACACATATATATATATGTATGTTTTTTAAATATATATATTATATGTATTTGGATTTTTTATAATTGAATCTAAAACATTATAACAAATTATTAGTTGTAACCAAATATAAGCTATAACGGATTATTATTTTAGTGGTAACAAAATTAATTACAAATTACAATGAAATTCTCATTAGATAAGAACTTCCAAAAATAGGGAGGAGCACCACAAAAGTAATTAGCAGTATGTGCCAAACAATATATATATATATATATATATGGCACCGTTTGAGAAGTAGTTTTGTGGGCTTTTTGACTATTTTAGTCACAAAAAATAAAATAAATTATTTTAGTCACAACAAACAAAATATCACATCCAACCTATAATCATTACACTCTTTTCTCATTAAAAAAAATCAAAAAAGTCAAAAAGTCAAAAAACTCTTCTCAAACCAAAATTTTAGCCAAAGCTAAAATAGTCAAAAAATTCAAAAAGTCAAAAAGTCAACCCACTTCCCAAACCAATCCTATATATATATGATTGAAATTTATTTAGAATTGATTTACATATGTACATTTATTTAATTAGGAAGAAATTACACTTTAGTTGATGTTTGAAAAATTATTTTCAAATTAACTGTTAATGTACACTAAACCTAACCCACTAACCTAAACCACTACATCCACCCCACTAAACCTAACACACTTACCATCTCCACTACCACCCACCACCTCCACTACCATCCACTACCACCACTCACTAACCCAAACCCTCTCCTATATAATGCCACTCTGATTTGTAATACAATACATCAAAACAATACAACAATCTTGTAATACATCAATCATCAATCAATCAATAATACATTTATTTTTACAATGTCATTGGGAATTTGAAGATCTTGATATGTAAGCCATGAATTGCAGAGAAATCATTCCTTCCCAAACGCGACATGGAATGGTTCTTCTTCTGTCCCCGGGATAGGAAATACCCAAATGGATCGCGCACAAACCGTGCTACCAAAGCTGGCTACTGGAAAGCCACTGGTAAAGACCGGAAAGTTGTTTGTCAGTCTTCTGTGACTGGTTATCGTAAAACCCTAGTTTTCTACCGTGGAAGAGCTCCAATGGGGGATCGAACAGACTGGGTAATGCATGAGTATCGCCTTTCTGATGACCTTTCTCAAGGATCACCATGTTTTCAGGTAATTTTAGCAATCTCAATTAATGGGTTAGCTTAAATTAATAGCTAGTGTTCACTGAATTGTCTGAATTTGATATTCAGGGAGGTTATGCTTTGTGTCGTGTCATTAAAAGGAACGACAACGTGCAAAAGACTAGTGATAAGCAAGTTGGAAATAGTTCAAACAATGGGGATTTCACTTCAACTAGAATTTCAAGTGAGCCTGTGATGATCTCCGAGGACATGACCTTTCAATCGAGTCACCTATGCAATGGGAGTAATTTTTCGAGCCCTGTTACTTCTCCATATCAGACTATGCCAATTGTGGAGAATGATACATTTTCAATGGGGACGAATCGCAGTAGCGTCTGGGTATCACCCGATTTAATCCTTGATTCATCGAAGGTACAAAAAACTAATTCTTGACTCATTGCTGTATTTTCACTACCGGGCATTGAGGTTCATCACGAGAAATTTCTCAAACATTTGTGTTTATGACTTGACACAGGAATACCCACAAGGACAAGGTGTGTTTGGATACTATCTGCAACACAAGTTTCCAAACATGATGACTCAATGGCCGCCACATAATCAGTATGAAATTTCACCCAGCTCGTCCTACTCAAATTTCACGGAAGAAATTGAGGTCGGTGATGACCTCAGTCGATTTGGTTGCATTTCACCATACTCATCAGGACACACAAACTACATGGGCTTTTGTGGAAATGAGGATAATATGCCTTACGAAGGTTATGACTGGACCAATTCACTTAGAAATCAAAAACACTTCTGAAAAACAGAATGGGAGTCACTGTACTTCAATTTTATTTTTTTCCTTTAATGCAGGATTTGAAACTTGGGATCAGGCTACAATTCATAGACAAGGTAGCGGAGATGGGAGTTTGGGGGAACTTGGCGGTCTTTGGTCGCAGGAAGATAATATGGTTATTGTGATGTGAGAATCTGCAAAAAGTTGGATAACCCTACTCAGTTTTTGACTAGTAATAATCAAGACTGGTGCCCCTGAGACAATGATTTTTTAATATTGATCTTGGAGTGGAAAACTATGGTATTGGTATTGGTATTGGTATTGGTGTTTGGTGCTGGTGTTGGTGTTGGTATTGGGTTTTGAGTCTACTCTTGTTAGCAATCCCCCTGGTTATGATCACTTTTATAGATTGCACCAGGAGTTGGAACATTTCATCATGGCGATGCTTTGTCGTGTTGTTGAGGTTGATTTGTACAAATTTGATCCCTGGGAGTTGCCAGGTATTTGTTCTTCAAGATATTCAGACACAAATTCTTTACATACTTCATTGCCAATTGTATGTTATTTTGGGGGTTCAATGAGATTATATCTGTTGATATGAACTGTACATAAGGTATTTGAAGTAAATCCTAGGAGAATTTTATATACATGTTATTGGTTTGATGGTACATGAACAACGGCTTCATTTATCTTCAATGAATTTCTCTTCTTCATCATTTTTTTTTTTTTTTTTTTAATGACATTGAGGTTTGATACCAATTTCAATGGTAGAGAATTGCTGGTGTTGGAAAGTTGTTGCTTTTATGTTTATCCGTTTGTTTTCTATTCTACTTTTGTTCTTCTTTATGAACTAAACCATCCACAAGAAGAATGTGTTTGTCGTGGGGCATCTCACTTTTTTCTCTTCAAAGCCGCTTCTATCGGATTTCTTGTTTTTCAAACCAAATGTCATGAGGAAAAAAATAAAGAAAGTGCAAACTTCAACAGTAAAAGTTTCTCATTCTTTTTCAGTTTTCTATTTGGATTTTATGTCATTGGGAATTTGAAGATCTTGATATGTAAGCCATGAATTGCAGAGAAATCATTCCTTCCCAAACGCGACATGGAATGGTTCTTCTTCTGTCCCCGGGATAGGAAATACCCAAATGGATCGCGCACAAACCGTGCTACCAAAGCTGGCTACTGGAAAGCCACTGGTAAAGACCGGAAAGTTGTTTGTCAGTCTTCTGTGACTGGTTATCGTAAAACCCTAGTTTTCTACCGTGGAAGAGCTCCAATGGGGGATCGAACAGACTGGGTAATGCATGAGTATCGCCTCTGCGATGATCTTTCTCAAGGATCACCAACTTTCCAGGTAAATTTCATAGCCCCATTTAATGGATTAAAACTTTTGAGGGACTAAAACAGCATGTGGTCACTGGCACTTGATTTTCAGGGAGGTTTTGCTTTGTGCCGTGTGGTTAAGAAGAATGAGCTGGCACAGAAGACAAATGATGGTTATGGAGAGCCAAAAGCAAAGCGGATTGGAAGTAGTTCAAGCATTGGGGATTTTACCTCGACAGGAATGTCAAGTGAGGCTGTGACCGTCTCTGAGGACACAACCTTTCAAATGAGTCACCTAGGCAATAGCAGTAATTTTTCGAGCCCGGTTACTTCTCCATATCAGACAACACCAATGGTGGAGAGTGAAGCATTTTCAATGGGGACTAATCCAAGTAGCCTCTGGGTATCACCTGACTTGATCCTTGATTCTTCTAAGGTACTGAAATTAGTTCTTTGGGTGTTTTAGGTTCTTGATGTGAAATTTCTCAAAACAATTTTCTTGATGAGAAATTTCTCAAATTTTTTTCTTAATTGCCTGATACAGGAATACCCACAACGACAAGGTGTGTCTGCATACTATCCACAATGCGAGTTTCCAAATTCAACAACTCAATGGCAAACTTATAATCAATATGAAATCTCTCCCAGTTCATCGTACTCGAATTTTACAGAGGAAGTTGAACTTGGTGATGGTCTAAGTCAATTCTGTAGCATGTCACCTTACTCAGGACACACAAATTACATGGGTTTTTGTGGAAATGACGATGTGCAATATGAAGGTTATGATCACCAGACCAATTCACTGAGAAATCCAAAACACTTCTGAAAAACAACAAATGGGAGCCATTGTAGTTTCATTTTCTTTTTCTTTCTTTGACGCCGGATTTGAAACTTGGGATCAACCTGCAATTGCTAGGCCTAGCAGATATTGGAGTTTGGAAGAACTTCGTGGTCTATGGTCATTGTGATGTGAAGAATAGTCTGCCAAAAGTAGGGCTATGCTTCTGAGACAACGCCTTTTAATGTTGTTCGTGGAGTGGAAAACAATGAGTACTATCACTTGTAGTCGGTATGGATTTGCTGTTAGAGTCCCAGTTATGGTTGTTGTCGGTGTTGCTCTCTGGTTTATGTAACTAGGTAGTGAAAAGGACGATCCCCCTGGTGATGATCACTTTTATAGATTGCACTGGGAGTTGGTTATATATGTTGTTCTTATAAAATAATGAAGCTTCTTTCATGGAAGCCACTTTTCTGTCAAAATTAATGTTGAATGTTAAATCTTCAAAACCCAAGTTCGATATGGAAGCATTTTATTTACTCCTAAAATGCCACAGAAAGCTTATATTGTGCAGGAAAATATTGAAACAGTGAAACCATAGCTGCACTTTCAATTGCATATCATAAAATTCTCGTGCAAACTGCAAACCTTCAACGTGTTTTAAACCCATGCAGGTCTAACTCAAAGCGGGCAGTATTAGACATGAACAATAAATTAAAAATATCAGAACAATTAGTGCTATATTGTCAGTCCCCCCCCCTCCCCCTTCTTTTCTTTTCTTTTCTTTTCATAATCTCTTCTTTTTTTTTTTCTTTCTTGGCTAGTCGGATTAAGAAGGTAAATGTGAAGCAGCTCATTGACAAAGACATGAAGAAGTGTCACCTTCAAGCATCCAAGAATGCACATTCCTCATGACCAAACTTTCCAAACTGATAAAACAAAAAAACAAAAAGAAACTACACTAATGCAACTTTAAATGGTGCTTTTAAAAGCTATAGAGCATAAAACCCTTTTGCTGCAACACCAACCGATATTCCCTGCAATACATTATTGTCCCGCCCACCTACTACTTCACCGCACCACCTACTCCTTGGCCATGGGGTATCGAATATTTGTGTAAGCACAGTCCCTTTTCTTTCTCCGAGCGTGCAAATCAACATATAGTTAAGACAATCCCTTTAAATATTTATGTTTCTTTTTGGTCTGTCCTCTAAAGATTGTGCTCTATCCCCACTTGCTTCAATTGAAAACAATTCCAGGATTGTGACTGTTTCATTGTAATCAAATAGAAAAGAAAATGTCAAGAAAATTTGAAGTGTGGCAACAATCAATTCTCTTCTATTGGAAGGTTTTTACAACATGGTTACATAAATACCTGTTTGGACACCAATCTAGTATAGGCTTGCAATTTGAGGGCTGCAAAACACTTGCACCTCTTCAAGGGTAGCCCTGTTCTCATCACCAAACAATGACTCCTTCCCATCTGGCCTTTTAGCATAAGACAATCCTAATCTAGACTTAGCTTGCCTTAGATCACCAATACCTGAATTAGTATCTGGCCCTGCAAAACCACCCATGACTGGTGCCAGTGGTGGTCCAATGAGCAGCCCATCAGCCCCAAACTGTGGGCCACCGCGAGCATAGTCAAAAAGGGCTGCACCACTGCCCCCAACTTTGGGGAGAATAATGGGTTCTTTGTTCTCATTATCTTCTTCCCAATAGAAGAGAAATGGATCAAAAGTGTCATAGTAATCATCAGTACTTCTGTAGCCTTCTGGGTTGAATGCTCCAAACTTGAATGACTTGTTTGTGTAGCCAATTATAACACAGGGTCCCTTGAAGTCACAGCAGTTGTGGAAGGAGGTAGCACTAAATCCATCAATGGTGGCCTTGTAGCAGCATTTCAGTTCCCTACCTGCTCACATATCATTCATTCCAAAACTTAGGTTTCTTGAGGTTAACTTCAGATTCATTTCTTTTAAGAAATGCAAAGCTAAATTCCTTTTTAGGGGTCTTGTTAACAACTACCCCCAAACCAGTTCAGATTTGAAATGCGAGACAATTTTTGTCAATTTGAAAACACATCTTACTGATTTCAAAACAAGCTTTTTCTCCTTTTTTTTTTTTTTTTTTTTTTTATATATATAT